TCCAGTCTTGTAGATCCATTCCTGCCTTACTAACACAATTGCCACCCATCTTCCCTCATTAACATCATAGAGGTAGGATTTACAACATAAAGGAAAATCACACAGTACCAGGAATCATGGCCCAGCCAAACTGATATACACATTTTTGGGGGGACATAATTCAAACCATGACAGTCCCAAACAATGAAGACAGATGAAATAATTTGCTTCCACGTAAACATAATAGGAGATACAGATTGCAAACAGCCTATCTGGAGGTCAGACAGAATCCCATTGTCACTGAGTCAATTTGACCCATGGCGACCCCATGTGTGTCAGAGTAGAACTGCTACATATGGTTTCCTTCTCTGTAATCTTTACAGAAGCAGATCACCAGGCCTTTCTTCTGTGGTGCCGCTGGGTGGGTTCAAACCACCAATATTTAGGTTAGTAGTCAAGCATGAACCATTTATGTCACCCAGAGACCTTCACACAGAATAGAGTTATTCAAATTAGAGCTAGTTCCTGACGGGCAGTTGCTGGTCTTTTATGTCCTTTGTATTTCCTTGGAGTGCAACAAGAAACACAGCAATTTAAACCGGAACCTGAACCCCTAGGAGACAAGCCCCATTAGGGGATTCTCCCTTTAAGTCTATGCTTCCCCTCTTGGAGTTCCCCTACTGCGGTCCTTGTTGCCACAACTTCACCCCTCCAACTCCCTGCCCCCCAATCATGTAACGAGGCTTCTCCTTTCTCTGGCTCAAGGGTGAGCACATCCAAAATCCATTTCCCTTGATCCTCTTAGCATGATCAAGAGAAGCTGGATTTTTCCAAAGTGTCTTTTTAAAATTGTAAGAGAAAATTAAAAAGAAAATGGTGTGACTATAAAGAGCACAACGGAGGTCTTTGTGGTGACAGAATAATTGTTTATCTTGATTGTAGTGGTGGTTACATGAATCTACACGTGTAATAAAATGACACAAAACTATATACACACATTGTACCAATGTCAGTTTCCTGGTTTTGATATTGTACTATAGTTCATAAGGAGTCCCTGGGTGACACAAATGTTTAAGCCTCAAGTGCTAGCCAAAAGGTTGGCGGTTGAACCTACTCAGAGCACCTCAGAAGACAGGCCTGGTGATCTGCTTCCAAAAGGTCACAGTCTGAAAACCCTATGGAGCAGAGTTCTACTCTGCACACATGGGGTTGCCATGAGTCAGAAGGGACTCTATGGCAACTACCAACAACATAGTTCATAAGATGTAACCATTAGCGGAAACTAGTGAAGGGGGCACAAGATCTCTTTGTACTGTCTTTGCATATTTCTGCGAATCTATATTTCAAAAGAAAAAGTTTTCAAAAATCATTTTAAAAGATCAGGAAAGAGTCCAAGGATTTTATCAAGATTACGTAAATTTTTCTCATATTTTTAATTTTAAAAAAAGAACAACAGATAGGCAGAAAGCATAAAGTCACATTTACACAGAATATGTTTCTGATTCTAGGAATCCCAGTAAAAACAACTCAGAGAGTTCCAAAGTCTTGTCTATCCCCTTCTGGGCTTACCGAGTTTCAACTAGTTGCTTCTCATCAAGTCCTCTTCAATTCTGCGCACTGTCTTTTCTACCTGACCTGAGAAGCTGGGCCACCAGTCCATTTTCTTCCAACCAAAGAAAACTGACAACTCACCTCCTTTTAGAAGTTAAGTCTTTTCCTGAGTTTCAGGTGAAATGAACACACCTTGCTCCCAAGTGACTTGCAAAGTATTATGAACGATATCCTATAAGCCACAATGAATGTTTTTCTAGCCCTTCTAGGCCCTGGTGATGAGCTCATCCCAGCTCTGGAGTCTCTGAGGATGATTCATTTAGATCCTCACCCTGCCATTCAAATGTTCTTGTGGAAGTCCATGGTGTGCAGTAGTTAACCAGTTAACCATGCAAAAACCATACCTTTCATACTGTACAAGCAACAGCAAAGAGGAAATTCTTTCAATTCAATTCACTAATGCTAATTCTTGCCCATCAGCAAGAACAGAACCCAAATAGACTGAAGATTCCCTCTGGCAGGGATGGATTTCCTTTTTCTGCTACTGGTCAGATCCCAGGTTAATTTTTACTATTACCCTATAGTGGATAGTAATCGTGTCCTCCAGAAACATGTGTTTAAGTCCAAGCTTCCAGGACCTATAATGTGACCTTGTTTGGAAATAGGGTCTCTGCTGATGTAATCAAGTTAAAACGAGGCCATGCTAGATTAGGGTATGCCTTAAACCAATGACAGGTGCCCCATAAGAAGAAGGAAATTTGGACACAGACACACAGAGACAAGGGAGAACACCATGTGACAACAGATGCAGGGATTGGAGTGATGTGTCTACGAGTCAAGGAATGCCAAGGATGCCAGCAACTAACTTCTTAGCTCAGGAGAGGAAAGATCCTTACCTAGAGCCTTCAGAGAGAGCATGACCTTGTTAACACCTTCATTTCAGACTTCTAGCCTCCAAAACTGTGAGAGAATAAATTTCTATTGTTTTAAGCCACTAAGTTCATGGTATATTGCTATGGCAGCCCTGGGAAAAATAATACATACCCCAATCATCCAATTATAAAATAAGAAGGAAAATGCCTATCACAGACCATGTTTCTAAATCTTCATATTTCTGCAATGCCTCTTCTTTTTCTAGAGGGATCTCTCTTCTCCCACCCTAAACATTGTAGTCCAGAGCACATTGTCAATTCCACTGCATATGCCATGGGGTGGGAGGGGGGCAGCTACAACCTATACAGTTAAGGAATAAGGCAAATGGCTTTATGCTGTTTGGGATGCAGTCCCTCTAGAGGCTCCCTCTTGCAATTCCTCTTTGATTATGGATTTAATTATGTCCAGAAAAAATGTGTTGTCAATCTTAACCCCTATATATACATGTAATCCCATCTGGGAATAGGGTTTTCTTTGGTATGTTAATGAGATTATATCCATGTAGGCTGTATTTTATAAAACAATCAATTTTGAGATAGAAAAGGAGCCGTTTAGACACAGAAGCAAGCAAGCACAAATGGAGAAAGACTGATGCCATATGAAGATCACCAAGGAACTGAGGAAGAGAAGCTGAAAGAGACAAGGATTTTCTCCCAGACTGGACAGAGAGAGCCTTCCCTGAGAACCTAGTGCCTTGAATTCAGACTTCTAGCTTCCTGAACTGTGAGAAAGGAGCACTGGTAGCACGGCGGTTAGGCGCTTAACTGCTAACCAAAAGGTTGGCAATTCCAACCCACCAGTCCCATGCAGGAGAAAGACGTGACAGTCTACTTCCATAAAGATTTTTGAAAAAAGTTCCGTTGAGTTGATTCTGACTCATGGCGATCCTATAGGACAGAGCAGAACAGCCCCCATGGGGTTTCCAAGGCTGTAATCCTTATGGAAGCAGACTGCCACATATTTCTCCAGCCAAGCAGCTGGTGGGTTCGAACTGTCTACCTTTCGGTTAGCAGCCAAGCACTTAACCACTGGGTACAGCCTTGGAAATTGACTCGATGGCAATGGATTTTTTTAAACTGTGAGAAAAGAAATTTCTGTTTGTTAAAGCCACCCATTTGTGCAGAGACATATCTAAGGTATGGCAGATATGGCACATGCCCTGGGCACCACTTTAAAGGGAAGGAGGCACCATTGAGTAGTTACTATTAACCATTTCAGTTTCCATCACTAGCTGTGAGAAATCATTCAGCAAGTTAAAACTAATACTTTCACATTTGAGATCCTCCATGGGTCAAGGCAGACTATGTGATCTTGCTCTGCTGAGTGTAGAAAGAGAAGAAACTGAAAAAAATTACTTTGAGCACATCATAGACCAATTTTCATCAATGAATGCAAGGAGGTGCAGTTGTAATTTTCATGTAGTGACAACGTGTTAAGTAAAAGATTAATGAGCTTGGCTTGTATTTTTGAGCTGTTATTATGGTAAAATTATCTAAAAGATGGGTGTCAGATGTCTGGACAGGGACACAATTTCAGGTGCTTGCCATAAGCACTATTTTCTGTAGATATGCCTCTGCACTTGTGGTATTTCTGTTACAGCAGCACTAGATAATTAAGACAGTTCTTCCGGTTACTTCATCCTGTGTTTATCTTCCAGTTAAGGTCAACTGTTGAATTTAGCCTTTTTGGTCTATGGAAGATCAAAGTCCTTTCTTGATGGGCACTAAATCAGCCTGTTTGGGCTTCTGGCAAAAGCTACTCTCCTGAAAGTCACATGTTGAATCAAATAGGCCAGAGTCCCCAGAACTGTTACTCTCAGTCCTCAGCTTTCATAAGACACCCTGTTAGGGCAACAACCACCCAACCCTGAGAAAGTTCTCCTGTCCTCAGTGTTTAAAATGCTGGTCTCTATTCTGTGGTCATTTCTCGTCACTAATTATTTTTGCAAGGAGGTGTTTTTTGTTTTTTGTTTTGTTTTTTAATTTCCTTTCCCCTAGAAAATAGAAGGGAGAGTCTTTGGGTCCATCCCCACTGGATGTTCGGCTATAACATCTTGGTATGGTAGAGAGTTCAGTCCAGAGACGATATTGTTGCCTGATTGACAAACTGGCCAAAACCACCAAGAAAACAGATAAGGGCATGCTGAATTTCTTTTGTTTTTCTTTTAAATTATTATTAAGTCATAATGTTGTATTATATAAACAAGTATCACAGAACAATTTTCAGGTGACACACTGAAACCATTTGAACCTCAACAATTTATGCTTAAAGCTCTTAAACAGTTAAATTCTAACTGTTGCACATGGACTTCTGAATGAGGATTAGGTATGTTTAACGGGTTTCAAAAGCAAAATACAGTGCCTTGTGTTGGTGATGTTCATGTTAATCCACAATATTTAGCACCCTCCCCTTCAGTAAATTTCAACTGGAAGACAGGAGAAAAGCTGAACCCTTTATTTTCATGACAATTAAATATTAACTACCAAACGCCTGAATTTCCATGACACAATAGTGCCCTCATCCCATTCCCTTTCTATGGTTCTGAGTTCTTGAAGTGGAATAAAGCAAGTCAGTCAGAATGGAGTTATAAACATGCTTTATTGTAACTAAAAATGATAAACGGAACTGCAAAGAGGTGAAAGGGAAACAAAAAACCAAGGACTCCCCAACAATAAATTTCAGAGTCAGAGCTATAACATCAGGCAATCATCAGGAAAGGGAACTCCCTGTTGAATAGTGCAAGATAGGAATGCCCTCCCCATGTTATTTATAGCAGACAGGTATTCAGGGGCGAGGACTCCACAGATTCAGACCACAACTGAATGACCAAGCCAATGCCATAATCAAGTGCTACTTCCAGCCAAGTATCCTGACAATTAAGTTCTAGCTAAATCGTACTCCCATGTCTTCTCTCAGTCACGGTGAAATATAAGAATATTGTGAGGAATTGAAAGCCGTGGATCAGTCCTACCAATCCAGGAAATTGGTAATACCTCTTGGAGAGGCTGGTGGTATATGTATGGATTAGTCCGTACTGGGGGTACTGTTTTCCTGCATAGTCTTCGTTATCCAATCAATGTAGTTCTTCACCTTTGTGTAGATCCCATAAGTCCCACACTGGGGGCCCCAGGATACTAAGCCAGCTACATAGAATTTGGGGTTCTCTTCATTGGGGTCCTGTATTGCAAAGGCCCCACCACTGTCCCCTTCACAGCTATCAACCCCCTTCTCACCTCCAGCACAGATCATGTTATCAGTGAAAACATACCTCCCTGTAACCACTTTGGAATCTGTCGGCTTTACCTCCTGGCACTTTGCTAAGGGAGCTACGGGTAACCTTGCCCCTCGGAGTTTGATAACGTGATTTTGCTTCCTTGTTCGGCCCCAGCCTGAGATCAGTCCCAGGTCTGTCACTGAGGGGTTATATTCTGGGGTAGTGCCTGGCAGACAGATGGGGGAGACAGTGGGTCCCATTTTCACTGGGTCTTTCAGCCTCACTAATGCAATGTCATTGTCAAAATTCTTTCGCGTTTCTGGGACATCCATGAATTCCCAATCAGGATGAATAAACACACGCTCAGCAGTGATCATCTGGGCATTTTCCAGAACTGAGGTGCGCACTAATGTGGAGCCAACATACATTATTGGGTCCTGGTTTCCCTCCACAACATGGGCTGCTGTCAGTACCCAGTGCTCGTCAATGAGAGCCCCACCAGCCCATGGGCTCGAGAAGAAAACTTGCCAGGGGAAGTTTTCAATCTTTGCGGGTTGTCCTCCAAATATCCTCTGTTTTTCAGTAAAGGTCTCACTGGGGACTCCGCAGACTAGGAAGGAACGAGAACAAGGTGGGGAGAGAGTAAGAATAGATGCTGGCCTCCTGCAAATTCTCAAACCACTCAAATACTTTTACCTGCCAGGGCTGCAGAGTTTTTCTGCAGGATATAGCCAACCCTGCACTTGATCACCCATCTCAGTACCTGACTCATCCTGACTCTACCTAAGAACCAAACATCCCACTTCAGCCAATGCCACAAGCAGGCTCATGGGAGAGGCTAGTTAAACTGAAGCAGTGTGTGAATAACTGCATCCAAATAAACTAGTGCCTGACACTGTTGATAGCTTGACTCACAGTCCCTCTAGAGACACATTCCACCCCCAGGTTCAGCACGTGAGTCACATGAGCATGTGGGAGCCAGTGCTGGGAAGACAGTCCCTGGCAGCCATTTCCTCACACAGATGTTGGGAGAGGCATCTCCCACTTTCTTCTGATGTCCACACCAAAGGCCTCATCACCTTCTTTTCTGAGTCCTACTTGCAGCTGAGTCCCTCCTCCTAATCCACAGGTCAGCCTACAGAGAAGGGTAAAGAGAGGGGCTGCTTCTTTCCCCTTGACCTCTACTCCCCTTTAACTGGGTCCGAGTATGATCCCTTTGCCACTACCAAATGTAACTGACACAGAATTTTATTTCAGATGAAATTGGCTTAGCTAAATCCCTCATTAGTCAGCCTGAGTGGACTCTGCATTGAACATATGGGCCTTGGACTCAGACAGACCTGGGTTCAAAGCCTGGTCCCACCCCTTACTAACTCTGAGTACTTACTTTAATTCACTCATCTCTAAACTGGGACTCATAACACTTACCTCACAGAGCTATTGCAAGCGCTTGATGGAGATAATAAACGTAACGAATTAACTCAATCCCTAGCTTTCAACAGCACTGTTGCTACTACAAGAATTACGATTACTCTGGTTTTGACCCAGTGCCTTCTCCTGTTCAACTCTGATCTGCCTGCAACCCCTCATTTCCTTTATTCCTCTGTATCTTGTGGCCATGTAGATTTTAATATAATAACTAGGCTATTCAGCCAGCTTTGTTTCTGAGTGTTGATTCTTCACTCTTAACTTTCATGCCCTGTTTTTAGTAATTCTGCATCCCCTTACCGCATCTACATTACCAGACCCACTGGCCCTGACTCTGACACCACTGGCTGACTTTTCTATTTCCTTTCAGTTGGCCTGACTCAGAGTGGTTGAGGGAATTCCCCATGGCCCTGGCAGGTCCACATCCCAGTGCTGTCTCCACTTCATTGAGCTGGACTCTGACAGGCACAGAACTGTTAACTCCTTTCCCAAGAGGACTACAGCTACTTTCCGAAGGTGACTACCCGACTCACCTGCACCTGTGGCTATGGTCTGTACCCAGCCCTGAACCCTGATTACCTGGAACACATTTCGGCAGCTCTGTGCCCAGCACTTCATTCACCCAGCTTCCATTACCAGTACAGTGATATTCCCCTGGAATAGCATAAGAGACACAGGACACACTCACCACCATATTTCTCTCTTCCATTCCCTCTTTTCTTTCAGAGCCTCAGCTCCTCTGGGATTTGAGGTGTCATGAAATCATCTAGAAAATAATCTTAAGAATATCTCCCCAAAAAATCCCTCTGGGGTCTGGGGACCATGGTCTCGGGGAACATCTAGCTCAATTGGCATGACACAGCTTATAAAGACAATGTTCTACATTCTACCTTGGTGAGTAGTGTCTGGGATCTTAAAAGCCTGTGAGCGGCCATCTAAGATACTCCACTGGTCTCATCCCTTCGGGAGCAAGGGAGAATGAGGAGAACAGGATACAAGGAAACGATTAGTCCAAAGGACTAATTGTCCACAGCTACCAAGGCCTCCACCGGACTGAGTCCAGTACAGCTAGATGGTGCCTGGCTACCACCACTGACTGCTCTGACCAGGATCACAACAGAGGGTTCTGGACAGAGCTGGAGAAGGCTGTAGAGCATAATTCTAACTCAGAAAAAAAAAAAAAAAGACCAGATTTACTGGCCTAAAGGAGACTGGAGAAACCTCGAGAGTATGGCCCCCAGATACCCTTTTAGCTCAGTGGTGAAGTTACCTCCGAGGTTCACTGTTCAGCCTGGGAGTGGACAGCCCCGTAAAACCAAATGAGACTAACGAGGTACAGGAGTCCAGTGACAAGGGCCAGAAGGCAGAAAGAGACAAGAAAGCTGGTGATAGGGAACCCAAGGTTGAGTAAGGATATTGTTGATGTGTTGTGAGATTGTTAACCATTGTCATAGGGCAACATTTGTAGTAACTGTTAAATGAGAAACTATTTTGTTCTGTAAGCCTTCATCTTAAGTGAGAATAACAGCACAATTGGAAGAGCGCAGTCAATGTCACTGAACTGTGTATGTAGAAATTTTTCAAATGGTGTATCTTTGGCTGTGTGTATTTTCACCAAAAAAAAGAAAAAAAAAAAGGTTGAGAATTTAGAGGGTTAATATGTTGTGGGGTTGTTAACCAATGTCATAAAAGAACATGTGTACTACTGTTTCATGAGAAACTATTTGTTCTGTAAGCCTTCACCTGAAGTACAATAAATATTAAAAAAAAAAAAAAATCCCTCTGGCTTCTATCCTGCCAGTGAAGGGGAAGGAGAGTCTCCAAAGCAGAAGGAAAAACAAATATGGTAGAAATTCAGAAAGTACTGGAAGTGGGAAAAATAAAATAAGGGGAAGTAAAAAGCAATGTAGGAGGATATATTGTCTCATCCAGCCCTCCATCCAGCCTTACTAAGCCTCTACATCAAAAAAGCCAGTCATCACAGTACGGTGACTTGAAACTGGAAGCGTTGCTCCTATGGCTTTCACATTAAATAATTTGTCAAAAGCTGATGACTACATGAAATGCATGCTGTAGGGGGAATTCCTGCAGTGGCTGTGAGGCTAAGCTAGGGGACCTCTATGATCCACTATGGGTGATCCCGGAGACCCCATTCTGCCCCATATGAAAACTGTAACCTTAGACTAACCCAAGAGGATGAACAGATGTCTGTCCCATCTCCCTCATGTCTCTCTGAAATCTCTCAAACCCAGAAAGATCACACTATTCACCCTCCAGCCCCATCCCCTTCTCTATCTTTCCTCTGGTAAAAGAAACCTACCACTTCCTTCTTTTTCCATGTAGTAATATGGCTCCTCACAAGTATAGTGAGTGACAGAACCAAATAAAGTGTCTCCTGGATCTTCGGCTTTACCATTCCGAATGGGTTCAGGAGCACCACAGTCCACAGCTATAAGAGGAAGGTAGGAGAGTGATGGTGAGGATAGCCAGTCCCTCCCAGAAAGAGTCATGGGCCAGTTCCACCCTTCCAGCCATGTTCCTCACTCCTTCCCCATCCCACAACCATAAGCACATATGGGATGCATCTCCCCACACCGTCCTTTCTGTGGCCATGACCTCCAACTGGCATCATTCAGTTCCCCAGCCCACTGAGACCTGCCAATTCAGACGGCCCTTGCAAGGTTACAAGGAGGAACCTGGTTCTCAGTGGTTGGTGAAGGCCCCTGTGGTAGCCAGGAATGCATCCACATGGGGCTATTAACTATCAATCCCATAGTCCTCTCTTTGGAAGAAACCTGCTAGTCTGGCCAGCCTGGGACCAGATCAGAGCTGGGACTAGAGAAGCCTCAATGACTGGATTCCCTTCAAAAACCCAACCCATTCTCTCAAGAGACTTAACTGGAAACCTTGGATTTGAATCATGACGTGCCCATCTTTCAATTCCCTTTGGAAGAAAAAAAGAGTCCCTACTTTGAAGAGATACATACGCTGACATTTCAGTTTGGAATTACTCCACTTCCCATTGCTTTGACAAGTAGAATAGAAAGAGGTTAAGCCAACATTTCCCTGGAGAATAATAGACATCATGGTTAACTTAGAAGGATAGACATGGGAAATAAAAACCAAAAATAGGATCTATCTCTGGCCTTGGACCACTTAGGAGTCCTCACTACAAGCTTGAGGACATCTTAGCAGAATGACCCAAAGCACCCAGGATCTGGGGTCAAGTGACAACTTTGCCCCAGCATATCAGCTCCCCATCCCCAAGAAGACTGAAGGCAGAAAGAGAATGTCAAGATGGCCAAGGAGCTCCACGGTTCACAAGGAAGGACTGAAGAACCTGAGCTGCTTTGTTTATGGAAAAGGTGCTATACCTGGCTCAAACAAGGACATTAAGCAAATAATTGGACAACCCCAGTATGCTCATCCTGACCTGAAGCCAAGGATTGAGGAGAAGCCCTAAGGGTACTTTACCTCCAAAACTTCAAATCCATACTGACAGGTTATCTTCACCGTATCTTTAAACACGTATTTTGCCTTCTCAGGCTCCCAAACAGAATTGGCAACGAATTCCTTAGGACAGGGGATTGCTTGGAGAGTACACAAGTTGAAATAGAAAAAAAATTACTTGGTAGTTGAAGTATCTCTATTTTATACATTATTCTTTCAGTTTCCCTCAATCTCGATGCCTTACACTCCAACATGGCAGCTGTCTAAAATAATATGGCATTACTAACGAAGCACCCCCAAATTGTCTGCACTCCCAGGATCGAAGAGTTCCTAGAGGTTACGGCATTTCTAGCAACCACTGATGGGTTTAGATCCTTCTGAGAAGAAGTAACAAAGGTGAAGAGTAACGAAGTATCTCAGGATTCCTATCCATACAACAGTTTTGATTCCTCATCGTCCAGGGACTTTGGTACCACCAACAAAAGTGCAACTTCTAGGTTACTCACGATCTCCATGGTAACGAAGTTTCCAGCCCTTTTTTTCCCCTCCTTGGTCAGTTTGGAAGATGATATCAACAGCATTACTCTTGGTTTCAATATTTAGTGGCCCAGGGAATCCATTACCACAGTAAGGGCCAAATTGCTGATCTCCTGCAACAAACTGAAAGGAAACAAAATGATAAAATCAGAAGAGAGACAGAAAGAATTAAAGAGGCAAAAGGGAGGAGATAAAAGTAACCAAGGTAATAGATGTAATATAAAATAAGAAGAAGAAAATAAAAGGCAGAAGAAAAGATAATTTTGTCTTCAAGGAGAAATCTCTTCGTTCAAGTTGGGGAAAAAATTAATCATCCATCACGCACAACTAAACTGTCAGGGCAGTTCCCCTCTGAATCCGCTGGTTCCACATCAAAATCTTCTCTCCGCACAGTCACCACCACTTGGAACCCCTCCTCCAACAAGATCTGGTATTCACACCTTGAGTTCTCTGGGTATGGATTGGGATAATTGGGACTTGCAATCTCCCCAGTTGGTGTAGTGAATACATCCCCACTGCAATTGACTACGGGAGAAAAAGAGAAAGGGGAAATCAAATGTAGGATCAAACACAGGACTTTCCTATGATTCTTTCTCCCATGAACTGACAGTCCTTCATTCAAACTAGCCTGGAATCCATACCTTGACTGGAGACCACATGCAATTACACACCTAATACATATGAGTAGAGATAGCCAATGCCTATTGGGTTTCCATCACTTTGCTTGTAGCAGAGCCTTTCAAGGTCATGGACAGTCCCAGGTGGACTCTTGATAGGCATCTATCTCTCTTCTCCAATTAACTAACTTTACCCTGTAGCCTTGTCCTTTTCTCCTCTTGTGGTACTCCCTCAGCTTATGGATAACTTATAATAGATGCCAAATCAAGGCTGAAACTAAAATGGAAGGGTGGACAAAGCCCTCACTGAGGCCTCAAGTCATTCCAGATCCCAGGAGATGTCCGCCCCTCTTGATGCCAAGCTCACCTCCACAACTTTCCATATCATCATGGAGGAAGTATTCCGGGGGGCAGGAGCAGAAGTAACCACCGATGAAGTTGTTGCAGAAGTGGCTACAAGGGGCATATGCAAAATCTGTGCACTCATTTACATCTACAGAGAGTAAAGAAAGATTGAGATTGAGAACAAATATCTAGAAGGAAGAATGAGGTGAAACCCAAAACTACAAGAGTAAGAGAAAGTAATAAAGGCCTGTTGTTTAAAGACCTTAAGGAACCATTCTTCAGGACCGTATTATTGTGTATTACTCTTACATAATAAGGTTCCAGAGTTGTACCTTAACATTGCACAGCTACAAGGGAGCTCTCAACACCAGACACCTTTGATCTTCCTCACATACAGAGCGTTGTAGCTCCAGAGACAACACCCTGTAGACTAAAAATGATGTCTTTTGCAGGGAGGAACAACTAGTACATCTATTACTCTGTATGATGCTCGTACCTCTGTCCAATCTAAACAATAGTTTGGTTTTATGAAATGTTCTAACTTCATTTTCACCTGGAGGTAGGTGTAGAAGCACATGGAATTTGAAGGTTTAAATGCCATACTTTGAATAGGTTTGAATAACATACATTGACTATATGATTCTTGGCAAGTTATTTAACTTTTCTAGTCCTCACTTTCCTTACCTTTAAATGGAGATACTAATACCTACTTTGAAGGGTTGAGAAGATTGTGTTAACATAGGTAAAAGTTCTAATATAATTCCAATACATAATAGTCCTCAATTAATTACTATTTATTATCTAATATGCCATTATCATCATCACCACTAAGACGTGATCATATGTTTGAATTTCACAAAGGCGATACACAGAGGAACCCAAGCCAACACTTTGTAAGAATTATAAAGAGAATCCTCATTCATTCCTTTGCTCATTGTTTTTCCTGCTCCTAACCTTTTAGCTGGATCAATAAGATATAGACATAAGGTGATCCATACCTATGGCAACATAGTATGCAGCAAATCCAGTGAAATGCTCTTCATTGGAGAAGTCTGATTTAAAGATCACCTGGAGTTTATTGTACGGGACTTGGAACTCTTCCACAATTGGAGAGCTGCGATTCTTGTTGGTCCTCTGTCCACAAAGTATCCCTTCTTGAAGGCCTCTTGACATTATCTAAGAGAAGAGTCAAAAAGAAACTAAGGGGTCATGGAGCTTCTGTTAAAGACGACGGAAAAATTTGGAAACAGATAATGGTGATGGCTGAACAACATGACAAATGTAATTAATGTTACTGAAGTGTACGTGCAAAAAATGTTAAAATGGCAAATGTCTGGTCACATATATTTACCACAATAAAAAAAATACTGAAATGAAAAAGAAATTAGTAAAAGGTATATTTTGGTATGGAAGTCAGAGAAAAACGGATGGAGACAGAAGAACAACATCTACAACCTTAAATTATTTCACTCCAGTTCATCGTATGCCTGTGGCACTCCATCCTACACCCCTCTCATCCCACCATCCTGGCCCTGGTCTCCCATCTCTAATCTTCATGTGCTCATAATATACCTGCACCGAGTCATACGCGCAGTTCTCTGAGAGCTCTATGTCCAGATGGGTGAAGTAGAGGTGAATCCCGTACCCTTCAGGAACTTCTATATCCCAAGATTTCTCTATCTCATTGGGATATGCCTGAGGATAGTTAGGGGACAGGATCTCCCCATACATAGTAGGCTCAGCATAAACCCATGCCAAAAGGGAAAACAGGACAATGTACCTGGGGAAAAAAGGATAGAGAGGTGGATGACCCCAATGTCAGAGGCCTAGTGTAAAGCTCTAGCATTCGTCATAGGGAGAAGGGAGGGAAAAGGAGAAGGACAGCCAATGGTCCACGGAGGAGAATCTTAAGTTGAAATAAAGTCAAAAGGCTTAGGTCAAACCAAAATCCAGGCTTCAAATATGAAAATTTTTTCTCAAGAAGATGAAGAGAATGGCATCCGTGTACATGTCTGTAGACCCATGATCACTTACCACATCTCTGGTGATTTGTCCAACCCTGGTGAGCAGCACGTCTCTTAGTCTTGGCTCTCTGTACCTCTGAACTTTGGAGCTAAAGAGGTGGTAGGCCTGGCTGTATTTGTCTAACAAACACAGGCACCTGCTTGGTGCCTCTGCTTGGTGGTGGGGGAGTCACCTGAGGTTCAGTGTCACCTTCATACAAATAACAAACAGGTTAAGCAGAGCCATATCACTATGCATCACCATAGAACATACTTATCCTCTCACACTCTCCCTGGTCCTACTTCGATTAAATTTCTAGACTAAAACTAAAACTTATCCTTCTCCCATTGCTTCTCTGGACCTTCTCCCAGTTTTTCTTTTTCTCCAAGGGTATGAGGACATTCTCCCAGTTTTCTTCTTCCTCTTTTCTCTCCCACCTCAAGTCTATCAGCCTGTATACCACCCTCACAGGACAATATCCTTATTTCCACCCTGATTTTCAGGAGTCTTTGCCCATCATCACCAGCCATCAAGGACTGTTCTCCCTCTTTCTTGGCATTGAGTCCCCACGTCACTTCAAACCAGCTCTCTTTACAGTGTTTATTATCGCATGTGTTTCTGATGGTGCTCCCATGACCGCTGGTGGAGGAAGGCACTTCCTTCACAGGGAAGGCAGTGGCCTTGACACAAAGGATATGAGAACAGAAGCACTGCCTTCCATTGAGATAGGTTTTGGTGGGGAAGGAAAGAAGGGGTAGCTGAATGGTGAGAAGCATAAAAGGAAACAAAAGATATTCTCCTAATTTCCTACATTAATTTTCCAGGGTTGCTTTTATCCCCCTTTACTAAAAAGACAAGGATCTTCCCACAGTTCCCAGAAAAGTCTTGCCAAAATGTTTCTAACCCAGAAAACAATGGTAGGTAGTGGGATGATGTGGGAGTGAGTGGGGTCAACCTAAGAGAAATAGGTTCTCTTTATTGTTTCCTTTCATTCTGCCATCTTAGCCCCAAGCTTTCCTATCTTTGCCCCAAACCTTCCTATATGAAGTTTCCTGCCTTTCTTTTTCTCCATCAAAGCTCTGGCTCTTTGTTTTTAAGGTTTTACCTTCAGAAGCTGATGGGAGCAAGTGGGCCAGTGGGCATGCTGGGTGACCCTGCTGGCTCCCAGGAGAACAGCGCAGGGCCTGGCCGCTCCCTCTGCAGGCACCTCTGCCGGCCTCCCTGTCCTGCTTCTGTGCAGATGATTCTCTACTGAGTGGGCATGTCTGAAATCCCCTGACCTAAACAGAGGGGGCTGGGAGACCATGACTTAGGGAAAGGGTAACTCAGCCTTGATCTTGGAGCTCCCTCTGCTTTTGAAAGAAGAACTGCGTCCTCCTTCCTGACCGGAGATTCTGCTATCCAGGGCTACAGGGGGAGAAAGGAGGAATGGGGAATTTCACTGATTGCCCAATGCTCTTTTTCAGCCAAGGGGTGTGTTACAGAGTTTTCGGGGAAGTCAGGTGATTTGTGGGAAAAGGAGGAGATTAATAACATGGGGAAGAAGCCAAACCCAAAAAGTCCAACCCTCTAGCTGTGTAGGAATCATGAATTAAGGGAGAGTAGTTATCAGAAATACAGGTCATCTCTGCCTTAAGAGTAATGGTTGGGTAAGACTTAAACCTAGAGCGAGGCTGGTGTAGGGTAATGCTTTTTTCCTCCTCTTCCCAAAACACCCTCCATATTTCCAAACATCTAAATTCTATCTGCCTATCAAGCCCCAGTTCAGATACAACCCACAGCCCTTATCCATAACCCTTGGGACCAGAAGTGTTTTGAAATTTAGAATTTTACAGATTTTAAAAACACAATACAGGGTACTGACTGAATATAGGTAGCACCCTCTACTCCCTTCAACCCCTGCCCAAGGGCTGAGATAACACTCCATAACCAAACAATATTTCTGCAGCTAAATATATTGATATTCACAGCAAATGGACTGAAGATTATAAATTACTTCACAGTTCAGATCAGATATTGCTGCCAAATGAGTTTCAGTGTCAAACTTGAAAAAAAATTGTTTTCAGGGCCTTTTTAGAGTTCAGAATTACAAATAAGGGACTATGGGCTTGTATAACCTCTCCGTAAAGCCTTCTTTGATCTCCTTCATGTCCCTGATTACTTTCTACCTTGGATCTTAGTGACTGTATTCCAATGAATCTAAGACATCATCAGCTGAAGATGCTCCATTATTTTACATATCACTAGAAATAATGTTGCCAATTAAACTATAGTATGCCATAGATGCATCCTAATTTCAGAAGTGTTAAAACGTGGGTAAGAGGGATGCATGCCTCCATGAATCGATGGAATCAATGAAGCATAGTATTTAGGTCATGCCTTTAACTCTGGTAGACTCAGCACTAGGAATCATAAGACAGGTTCAAACTCCTAGCTCTGCCACTTACCAGTCATGAGACCTTAGGCTCATCAGCTAGATTCTTAGCTTCTTCCAAGTATAGAATAGAGCAACTAACAACAACAAGGTTTCTGAAGGCAGGTTCTGGGTATAATTCACCATGCCTAGCAGTGTCATACATACAATAAGACCATCTGTCATTCTTTTTGGCTGCCCAGCATTTGAACCCTTTTATCACATTTGGGGAGTTCTTGTTGCACGAGTCTGGGAGCAGAGCCCACCTCCCAGGAAAGAAGTTACAAGTACAGAAAGCATGTCCCTCACCTCTCTAGTAGCTCTGGATAGGGCTAGGTACTCACGCTCCATTCATCAGAGGCTTCTGCCCAGGCTTTGAATTCAGAGGTAATGATGCCAAGAAGCAGGGACCATGGAGACTCTGGGGCAGTGGTGGTTGCAGCAAGATGGAGGAGAAGGTGGTGCTCACGGGAGCACCCAGTGGATGAGCATCACAAGCTGAAGTGTCTAGAGCTCAGCAAAGGCAAAGGCAGAGGCAGCAGCCCTGTTCTGACCATTCTTCCTGCTGTCACGCTTCTCTCTTGGCACTCCAGCTGTCCTGACATTTTTGTGAGTGATTTAGGATCTCATTAATAAATTTCTCTCTGCTAAAATCAACCTGAGTTGGTTTCTGTTGCTTGTGACTAAGAACAGTGACTAATACAACATGCTTAGTGAACACCTGAGAAATGACTGACTGAATAAACAAGCCAAGGTAAGTTCAAACCATTTACTAACTGCTTTTAGTTGTGTGATGCAGTGGTTAAGCATTCGACTGCTAACCTAATCGAATCCACCAGCCGCTTCTTGGAAACCCTTTGGGGCAGTTCTGCTGTATCCTACAGGGTTGTTATGAGTCAGAATCGACTCAACAGAAATGGGTTTGAGTTTTTTTGGGTTTTTAGTTGTATGACCTTGAAAAAGTTACTTAACCTCTCTGAGAGCCAGCTTCATCATGTGTAAAATGGGAATAATATCACCTACCTCAGACACAACCTTCATTGTCAGCGCCTGTTGTTGACATGATTAAAAGAGATAAGCATTCAACATATGTCTGGTACTCAGTAAGGCCTTAATAAATTAGAAAAAAAACATTAACTTCATCCCCAAACACCAGCAGCAGCAGTAGCAGCAGCATCCTCCTCAGCAAGATCTTCAGAGCATGCCTCGGGAGACAGTGAGGAAAAAAAAAAGAACATCTCACCATATTTTCCAGGGTTCCTTCTTTTTCTTCTAAGTTCAACACTGCCTGATTTTGCCAGAAAATTTAGAGTGACTCTCTCCTACCCTCACCTATGTTTCACGTTCCCTTCTTTAATTTTATCATCAACATGAAATATTTTATTTTCCTCTCTAAATCTCAAGGAGACCACAAATCCCCTTGTAATGGCATCTCTGGGCCCCACCTCCTTCCTTGGTTCAGCAAGAACTCAGGTCAAGACCTTATACGGTGACAGCCTTGTAAGAGCAGGAAGTGTGTTACATGGTCTGCCCAGTACCACAGCGGTTCATAAAAACAGTGGTGCTTATTGTCATCCTCAGGGTCATCTGAACCCAGCTGATGTGGATATTGCTGATATACAAACCAGAAATTATGACCTTATATGTTAATCTTAAAAGTAACAAACACACATAAATATGTATATAAATATGAATTGGAAATTTTAGAAAATAATCACTAATGTTGATCAGAGTCATAACTATCATATTCACAATGTTAGAGTCTCTGGAGGAGGCTGAATAAATAGCATCCTTCATAACTTGCCAAGTTCTAGACAAATTGAGAAACAACACAAAGTAGCAGATGAAGGGCAAAATATACCTTTAATAGTGATAAAGCCTAAGACAGATGAAGTAGCTCAGTGTAAAAGCCAAATGTGGGGGGGCTAAGTGAACCCCAGAATAGACTGAGTTACCCTTCAAAACACAGGCAACACTGGACCACGGGAGACCCCCAAACAGAGAAGATACACTCCCTGTGGACAGTTTGCTCCCAAGAGGAACAAGGGCCAAGCTGAGGGAAGCAGGCCCAGTTATTTTTCCAATCTTTACCAACTAGATAAGTGACCCCACCTCCCCAGGACAAAGTGAGTGATGGAATGAAGAAGTCCAGAAGTATCACATCATGGAGCTCTCGCCATCAGTCAGATCTATCCGTAGTAGGAAGGACACTTTTCTCCTTAATGTTGCCCAGATTTTTCTTCTTTAACCCATAAGGCTTGACAATTAAGCATATGATCAATCCAGGATGGGCTATCTACTTGGGGAGGAGATCAGCAGTCTAACTAGGGTGCTCCTGCACCCACATTCACAAGGCTACGCACCCAACACCACCCAGTGCTCCTTTTGTGTGTCCTCTGGCACTGCTGGCCCCAGAAGACTCCAAAATAATTCTGAACAATACATTAATATTAAATATATTCTACACCCAAGGCTGAAAATTCAACTCCTGTTCCATTTTCCATCTGAAATTTTATCAAGCCATGTTATCTAAGATAGCTATCAGAGGTTCTGTAATGAGATTAAATGATGGTATTAAGATATTCCAGTAATGAAACGCCAGCAATAAAGAGGCATCTCAAATCTAAACAAAAACAAAAAAAACCTCCCAATTTCAAACTCCCAAATTAAAAGTTCAAATTCCATTGCAAAATAGATCTCAAAGACAAACACATATAACTATGTATATAAATACGAATTGGACATTTTAGAAAATAATCATTAATGTTGCTCTGAGTCATAACTATCATATTCACAATGTTATAGTCTCTGAGGGGGGCTGAATAAATAGCACCCCTCTTCCCTTCCAAGTTCTAGACAAACTGAGAAATAACACAAAATTAGTATATGAAGATTAAAACCAAAAAAAAAACAAAAACCAAACCCGTTGCTGTTGAGTCAATTCCAAGTCATAGCGACCCTACAGGACAGAGTAGAACTGTCCCTATAGGGTTTCCAAGGAGCAGGTGGTGGATTCGAACTGCCAACCTTTTGGTTGGCAGCCAAGCTCCTGACCACTGCGCCACTGAGGCTCCATACAAAGACATTAAAGTTGAAAGTTACTGAAGTCCAAAATCAAATTCTCTTTCCCTTAAGTCCAAATTCTCAAATTCTTAAGTTAAAGTCCCAAAACCATCATCCCAAATTTTATTTAGTTGGGTCTCAGCTAGAGAGTTTTCAATCCCTGGGCAGAGGTTTGGTTCCTTCAGTAGCTGCAGCCTAAGCTGGAACAGTTAGTTCCTCCAATGCTTCAGAGATTATCTTAAATCCAAGGAAAATCTTCATGAGCCTCATTTTTGAAAAGTCCAAAGAGTTAATGAGACAACATTGAGACTATTGCAGCACCAGCCCCACAATCACAAAATTTAGAAAGCAAGCCATCTCAGGCCCCAAAGCAGTTATCGCAAGCAAAATTTAAACTATATTTCTAGAACCCAGTACTTAATGTTGCCAAAGACTGAAGGAGAAATTCAAATAGTATCTGAGAGCAGGAGAAAATCTTAGGTTTTTACTTCACCGTGATGCCAATCAGTTTATGCCAAATGTTCAGAATTCATGTCCTATGAATTTAAACACAACAGGAAGAAATCACCTAGAAAAAGGTTAATTTTGGCATTCTGTACTTACCATATGGAGGTCCTCCTATGAAAAATTCTTAATTCCTACTCTTCTTCTTCAGCCCCCAGTTTCTGGCACCCCAGTGCTGCACTGGTGGGTGCCTTCCTTATCTAGTGCTGCTGTAACACAAATATCACAAGTGGGTGGCTTTAAAGAACAGAAATTTATTCTCTTAGAGTTTGAGAGGCTAGAAGTCCACATCAGGGTCTTGGCTGTGTCAATTCCTTTGGTGTTAGCAACGCTGGTGTCTTAGTTATCTAGTGCTACTGTAACAGAAATACCACAAGTGGGTGGCTTTAACAAACAGAAATTCATTTTCCAACAGTTTAGGAAGCTAGAAGTCCAGACTCAGGGCGTCAGCTCTAGGGGAAGGCTCTGTCTTTCTCTCTCCCTGTCTGCTCTGGGGGGAAGGTCTTTTTCTCTTTTCAGCTTCTATTCCTAGGTTCCTTGGCGATCACGTGGCTTGTAGCTTCCCCTCCATTTGTGCTTGCTTGCTTTTTTATAATCTGTTCTTTTAAATATCTCAAGAGATTGACTTAAAACACACCCTACTAATACTGCCACATTAACATAACAAAGAAAACCCATTCCCAGATGGGATTATAACCACAGGCTTAGGGGTCAGAATTTACAACACATATTTTGGGAGGACACAATTCAATCCATAACACCCAACATTCCTTGATTCCTTAGTGATCCTCAGATGGCATCTGTCTTCCCCAGTTTGTGCTCCTCTCTGTGTCTGATTGGATCTTTTCATAACTCAGAAGTGATTAGGTTTAGGACACACCCTGCACTGGTATGGCCTCATTAATATAGCTAAGAAAATCCTGTTTCCAAACAAGATTACATCCACAGGTATAGAGGTTAGGATTTCAACACATATTTTAGGGGGACACAATTTAATCCGTAACAGTGGGTAAACTCTGCCTAGCAATACAGTCTCCACAGTGTAAGGAGGGCAGGCATTTTCAGTCAAGTGCCTCTTCTTTCACTGCCCCTTTTATGGAATCACTAAGACCTGAAAAGCCATCTTCCTAGGGAAGGCATTCCCTTCATTCCCATGTGTGTGTCACCTGGAAAAAGTCCCTGCAGCAAGTTCTTGAACTCAGATTGTTAATGAAGCTTCTGAAGCCTATGCCCCTAGATATGAACCACTACCTCTGATACAGCCACACTTCTTTTTTTTTTTTTTTTTAATGATTTTTCTAGGTCAAAAAGTACATCAGTAAACTATCAGTTAATAGTTTTATTAAACAATAAATGAATTGGTATTTTGGCAAGCATTGTACATATCTGATACTACTTTTTCTTCCACTTTCTAATTTCAATAACAAATTAGGGTGATCCTTCAGGGCACAGGCAGTACCAGCAAGCCTACCTACAATAACTATATTTCCTTGAAACCCATCGAGTAATTTTTTGAGAATTTTCCATTCTCAAGCCTGTGAAACGAACAAGTTGCAGAAATGTGCAAAATGAATTAGTGAAACCACTTGACTTAGTTATCTAGTGCTGCTGTAACAGAAATGCCACAAGTGGATGGCTCACAATCTAGTAGGCCAGAAGTCCAAATTCAGGGCGTTGGCTCCAGGGAAAGGCTCTCTCTCTGTCAGTTCTAGGGAAAGGTCCTTGTCATCAATCTTCCCCTGGATTAGGAGCTTCTCAGGCGCAGAGACTCCGGGTCCGGAGGACGCACTCTGCTCCCGGCGCTGCTTTCTTGGTGGTATGAGGTCCCCACGTCTCTCTGCTAGCTTCTCTCTTTTATGTATCAAAAGAGATTGACTTAAGACGCAACTTAATCTTGTAGATTGAGTCCTGCCTTATTAACAACGCAGAGGCAGGATTTACAACACATGGGAAAATCAGATGACACAATGGTGGACAATCACACAATACTGGGAATCACGGCCTACCCAAGTTGACACACATTTTTGGGGGACACAGTTCAATAGCACCGCTCTTATTGCTGCTTTTCTCTGCCCTTCTTTTTTCAGCAACCTCATATCTCTTTTTACTTCTCTCTTCCTCCCTTCCTTTCCACTGGTTCCTTGACTGCTGTCCATTATCATCTGCAGGGCTTCCCATCCTAGAAAACCTTCCCTTGCCCCTCTTATTCTCTCAACTTAAAAAACAAAGAAACAAACACAAAACAAAACAAAAAAAAACCCAATTGCTATCAAGTTGCTTCCAACTCGTGGATTTCAAGGCTGTGAACTTTTGGAAGCAGATCGCCACAATTTATACTTTGGCTCTGAATATAGAACGGAATTTGCCAATCCAGCACTGCCTACCTAGGCCAGGCACTCACAAATTAAAGCTAGAATTTCCCTAGTGCTCTGTAGCACATGTAGAACTCAGATTCCTCACAGTAGAAATTCCTATAAGAAAGTATCAGGACTGAGGAAGAAAATCCCACCCCTACAACATACAGAGTATCTGGACTGTTGTTGAAGACTCTAGAAATACATAATGCTTGCCAAAATACCAATTCATTTATTGTTCAGTAAAACTAAAAAGTGATATTTTACTAATGTACTTTTTTGATCTAGAGAAATCTTAAGGAAAAAAGTTTGGATATAACAAGATATGAAGCTAATGTAAAGGAGAAAAAATAAAAGACAGTAAATGTGAAAAAGGAGCAGTAACAAAGTAAAGTCAGTTTGGGAGAGGTTGTTCTTTTCTTCACCCACAATTGCATTAAATTAACTAAAAATGTATTTGTTATTGGTGTTAGTTCTCATCAAGTCAGCTCCAACTCATGGTGGCCCTATGTACAACAGAATGAAACATTGCCTGGTCTTGTGCCATCTCCATAATCGTTGGTATGTTTGAGTCCATTGTTGTGGCTATTGTGTAGTGCCTTCCAACCTAGTGGCTTACCTTCCAGCACTATATTGGACAATATTCTGCTGTGATCCATAAGGTTTTCACTGGCTAATTTTGCCAGGCCTTTCTAAACACAGGCAATCTCCAGGTTACTAACATTCAACTTACATACAACCTGTAGTTATGAACCAACCCTCATAAAGCCTATTATATTAAAAATTCAAAGTACATACAGTGGTTAGTAATAACAAACAGGCACTACTCTGCACCAAAACATTATTATTCAAAGTGGGAGAGAAATGTAGAGCAAAATTCAAACTCATAAATAAGACCAGGCTCACTGGTCTGAGAGAACTGGTGGGACCCCTGTAGCTATGGCCCTTAGATATCCTTCAGACCTTTCAGATACCCTTCAGAACCAAAATCACTCCTGGAGATCACATTATAGCCATACAATAGACAGGCCTATAAAATGAACAATAACACCAGTGAGGAATGTACACTTCAGAACAATCAACTGCACAGAGAAAAATTGTCTGGAGGTGAGGCAGAGAGGTAGAAGGATCACAACAGTAGTTTTACAGCTGTGATTAACTGATTAGTTAATCAGTGATTTAACTGATTAGAGCCATTTGATAGAGATAACTAAACAGTAAATATCTAAATAAAATATCCCTGTAAGTTCTGAAAGCCATATGGAGCTCCTGCTTGGATAATATGCTTTACCAAAAGTCGGGTGGAGGAAGGGGGATGCAAACAAAAGGAAGAGAGATGTGACAGAGCAGAGGATACCTCAAATTGGTTAGAAAGTGTCTTGGTGTAACAGGGTACTTTGAAACTGCCAATTCCCTCAAGAAACATCTCCTACCCCTTTCCCCCATATTATTCTAGAGCCAAGCAGAGCAACAAGGACAAGAATCTGAAACGATACCAATTAACAGAAACCTTTTCCCATTTTGAAAAAAAAAAAAGAGAGAAATGATAACAAGCAAAAGACAGACGGTCAAAAAAACACTTCAGAAAAAGTTACCTCAGCACTCTGGTGTGGAAGAATTCCAAATAAATTATGTCGATAGTCACCCCAAAGGAGGGGAAGCATAACTCCCCATTCCTCTAATGTGGGTTGTATATAGTAACATACTAGTACAGTACATAAAGGAGGGGGAAAAGAATAATTTTACACTGGAGAGACCTGACAAACACTGCTTCAACTAGGTGATCTTGGTCAACATTAACAGGTATAAGTCATATTGATAGTATGTACCCTTGATACGATGTGATGAGAATGGCACTTTACCTCTGTGATCTTTCTTCCTTCCCAAACCTCTAACCCTAGTCTAATCATGAGAAAAGCATCAACCAAATTCCAATAGTGGAGCATTCTACAATATTCCTGACCAGTACTCCTGAAAACTGTCAAGGTCATCAAAATCTAGGAAAGTCTGAGCAACTATCATAGCCAAGAGGAGCCTAAGGAGACATGATGACTAAATGTGTTATCCTGGATGAGATCCTGGAACAAAAAAAGGACATTAGATAAAAACTAAGAAAGTCTGAATAAATTATGGACTTTGGTTAATAATAATATAACAGTATTGGCTCATTAATTTTAATAAATGTACCATGCTAATGTAAGCTGTTAATAACAGGGAAACTGTATACACTAGCTATATGGGAACTCTCAGTACTATCTGCTCAATTGTTCTGTAAATCTAAAACTGTTGTAAAAAAATTAAGTCTATTTAAAAAAAAAAAAGTTACCCCAGCAAGCAGAAGAAAAATGTGAGACAGATATTTTTCTATACTTTAAAACATTAAAGAGAACATGGGCATTGTTTAAAAGATTACAAAGAGAGATATGAGGGAAAATATGGGACAAACACACTCGGCATTTCTCAAACTGAAAGAACTCAAGAAAAAATTCAAGCCTCGAGTTGCAATATTGAAGGATTCTATGGGCAAAAAACTGAACGATGCAGGAAGCATCAAAAGAAGATGGAAGGAATACACAGAGTCACTGTACCAAAAAGAACTGGTCGAGGTTCAGGCAATTCAGGAGGTAGCATGTGATCAAAAACCAATGGTACTGAAGGAAGAAGTCCAAGCTGCATTGAAGGCACTGGCGAAAAACAAGACTTCAGGAAATGACAGAATACCAATTGAGATACTTCAACAAACAGATGCAACTCTGGAAGCACTCACTCATCTATGCCAAGAAATTTGGAAGACAGCTACCTGGCCAACCGACTGGAAGAGATCCATATACATACATGCCTATTCCAAAGAAAGGTGATCCAACGGAATGCAGAAATTATTGAACAATATCACTAATATCACATGCAAGTAAAATT